TGCTGGCTATTAAAAGATGCAAGCATTTTGAACTGGGAGGAGATAAGAAGAGAAAGGGCCAAGTGATCCAGTTCTATGTATCATCTATTCTTTTATTATGAAGATGATAAAATCTTGAGTTTATGTTAAAAAAAAGTGTATATATATATATATATATGCCTAAAGCATTTGTTTTAACAACATATAAAGTTACTTCAATAATAACAACAACAACAACACGCTTCTACGGAATGTTCATTGTGTGCCAGATGTTGAAAAGGTTATATGTACATGGCCAGGTGCAGTGGCTCACGCCTGTTGTCCCAGTTCTCAGGAGGCTGAGGTAGGAGAATCGCTTGAACTCTGGAGGCGGAGGTTGCAGTGAGCCCAGATTGCATCACTGCACTCCAGCCTGGACGACAGAGCGAGACTCTGTCTCAAAAAAAAAAAAAAAATTATGTACATAATATAATTTAATCCACACAATGACCCTATAAAGTAGATATTAGATTGTTATTATGGTTATCACTCCCATTCACAGATAAGGAAACTGAAGCACAGAGTTATTTACACTCTAAACCAGTTACACTATAAACCACAGAGGCAGGATTCAAATCCAGGCAGTCAGACAGCTCCTTTTAGCCACAATAGATTCTGAGCTCACAAGCAACTAAGGTTCTAATGCTATTCCAATGGAGTAAAAACTCAAACTCAAGCACTCCCAAAAGCACCAAATGTGACAATAAAATATCACCATTTTAATTCTGAAACAGGGTTAACATAGTTCTGCATTACAAAAAGTACGTCTGTGTTAATAATCACAATGTTAGTGACTGTCATTTAAAAACATGTAAACACACACACACACACACACACACACACACACACCCCTAAGCCAATTATCTCCTTGGTTAAGCAAAAGTCCTATGTGTCCCAAAACTAAAGAGTACATTAATTAGTGCCATCTTTCCATAAAATGGTAGCATTTGCATCCTTCCACAAAAGTCAACTTTCACAGAGTATCCCATTCCTAAGTTACTTTTTACCACTTTTATAAAACAGAAACTTGTTCTAAAATTGATCCAACTTAGCAAAATCTGACAAAAGAGCAAAATTGATAAACTTTATCAAAATTAAACATTTTTGTGGCCGGGCACAGTGGCTCAAGCCTGTAATTCCAGCAGTTTGGGAGGCCAAGGTGGGTGGATCACGAGGTCAAGAGATGGAGACCATCCCGGTCAACATAGTGAAACCCCATCTCTACTAAAAATACAAAAAACTAGCTGGGCATGGTGGCACGTGCCTGTAATCCCAGCTACTCAGGAGGCTGAGGCAGGAGAATTGCCTGAACCCAGGAGGCGGAGGTTGCGGTGAGCCGAGATCGCGCCATTGCACTCCAGCCTGGGTAACAAGAGCGAAACTCTGTCTCAAACAAAAAAAGAAAAAAAAAAAAAAAATTTGTACTATGAAAGATACTGTTAAAAGAATGAAAAGACAAACTAGAGATTGGGAGAAATTTTGTGCAAATCATTTATTTGAAAAAGGATTCGGATCCGAACATATAAAGAACTCCCAGCCAGGCGCAGTGGCTCACGCCTATAATCCCAGCACTTCAGGTGGCCGAGGCAGGCGGATCATGAGGTCAAAAGATCGAGACCACCTTGCCCAACATGGTAAAACCCCATCTCTATAAAAATACAAACATTAGCCAGACATGATGGCGCATGCTTGTAATCCCAGCTACTCGGGAGACTGAGACAGGACAATTGCTTGAACCCGGGAGGCGGAGGTTGCAGTAAGCCGAGATCACACCACTGCACCCCAGCCTGGTGACAGAGTGAGACTGCATCTCAAAAAAAAAAAAAAAACAAAAAAACCTCCCAACACTCAGCAATAAGAAAACTAACCAAATAAAACTGGGCTAAAGATTCCAACAGACACTCCACAAAGAGGCTGTAACGATTAACAGATAAGCACATAAAAAGATGTTTGATGTCATAAAGCCAGGATTAGATACCACCACATACCTATTAGAATGGCTAAATTTAAAATATTGATAACACCAAGTGATGTAAAGTAATTGTAACCCTCATACACTGCTAGTAGGAATATAAAATCATTTAGCCACTCTGGAAAAAGGGTCTGCAGTTTCTTATAAAATCAAATATGCACACTACATTATATGACCCAGCAATCCCCTTTGCCCCTCAGACAGACAGAGAAATGAAAACTATGTTCACAAAATGATCTGAACACAAATGTTCATAACAGCTCTATTCATAATTGCTGAAAAGTGGAAACAACTCAAATGTCCTTTAATGAGTGAACAGATAAACAGATCTCTTTGTGAAGTAAAACTACTCAGCAATAAAAAGGAACAAGTGTTCAATATATGCAATAACTTGAAATAATCTCAAAAATATTATGCCATGTAAAAGACCCCAGTCTCAAAAGCTTACATACTGTATGATTTCATTTATAAAATCTTAATCTCAAAAAGATAAAACTATAGGAATTAAGAACTGATCAGTGGCTGCCAGTGGGTATGGGTTGGGGAGGATCAACTATAAAAGAAGAGCAAGAGGGAGTTTTTAGGGTGATGACACTGCCCTGTATCCTGACCGAGGTGATGGCGGCGCAAGCTATACATGTGTTAAATCAGTAAAACTCTATACCAACAAACATCAATTTTACTATATGCTAATTTTTATAAAATTATAAAAATTATTTTTAAAATATGAATCTGAATGTCTCAATTGACATGATTTTTTAAAACTAAAAAGGACATACAGAAGGATAAGTGTGCTATGAATAAACAGAAAACCCATGCACCTCCCTTTCTGCATATATAGGTTTTACAGGCAAGCATGCAGTCTCAGAAAGAAGCTCTCCAAATGGAACAATGATTGAGCTCACTTGGCACAAAATGTAAAATACTTCTGAAGAATTCCATCATAGCTAGATGGTTGGTCCAGGACCAAAAGTAAATGCTGGAAGAAAAATAAAATCAATCTTTCCACTCCAAACCTCCGTCTGTGACAGTAAAAGAACCACCAGACCACCTTGAAATCAAGTCATGAAATATACTTTTATTTTAAAAATCAGGTGTATTCCTCAAATTAGCATCTCTTGTTAATGCAGTTACGGTCTTCTTTGATCTCAAAGACCAATCCTTTGTTAACAGACTGACTTTAAGCAAAAGTAAACTGATCAAATAGCAGGATGTCACAGTAGTAAACTAAAATTTCTTCAATCTAAATTCAAGATGATTTCTCCATCTCTGTCTTATACATTTGCCTGTTAGAAAAAAAAAACTCTACCACATAATTAACTTAGGTGGAATAAATCAGACTGCATTTGAAAAGGTTGTAGAAGAGTGATGAGTTATGTTAAACGGCATCACTATCTCCTTTGACAGAAATTACTAACATCCATAACTGGTTCTGAATCAGACCTCAAGATATCTTTACTTATTAGACTATATAAACAATAAAACCTAAAGGACAAATATAATAAAATACATGTTTCTTTATATAACAAAATAAAAATTTAAATTAGAAGAACTACTAAAAAAATCATAAATCCACATTTTTTAAGTTAGTTATTTGCCATGAATCCTTCTACTTTGTTTTCCTTGTAGAAATTCCATTACTAACCTGAAACTAGAAAGTAAATACACTTTGGGAGGCCCAGGCAGGCAGATTGCCTGAGCTCAGGAGTTCGACACCAGCCTGGGCAAAATGGCTAAACTCCACCTCTATTAAAAATACAAATATTTAGCCAGGCATGGTGGTGGACGCCATAGACCCAGCCACTTGGGAAGCTAGACACAAGAATCAGTTGAACCCAGGAGGCAGAGGTTGCAGTGGCGATCACAACACTGAACTCCAGCCAGGATGGTCGAATGAGACTTTGTTCCCCCCACCAAAAAAAAAATTTATTGTGACCAAATAAGGAAAAGCCAAATTGACACTTTTTTTTATTTTTGAGACGGAGTTTTGCTCTTGTTGCCCAGGCTGGAGTGCAGTGGCGCAACCTCCACCTCCCAGGTTCAAGAGATTCTCCTTCCTCAGCCTCCCGAGTAGCTGGGATTACAGGTATGTGCCACCATGCCTGGCTAAGTTTGCATTTTTAATAGAGACAGGGTTTCTCCATGTTGGTCAGGCTGGTCTCGATCGCCCGACCTCAGGTGATCCACCTGCCTTGGCCTCCCAAAGTGCTGGGATTACAGGCGTGAGCCACCACATCCAGCCAATACATCATTAAAATAACCCAAGTGGGACTTGGTGCAGTGGCTCCTGCCTGTAATCCCAGCATTTTGGGAGGCCAAGGCGGGTGGATCTTGAGGTCAGGAGTTCAAGACCAGCCTGATCAACATGGTGAAACCCATCTCCACTAAAAATACAAAAATTAGCCAGGTGTGGTGGCATTTGCCTTTAATCCCAGGTACTCAGGAGGCTGAGACAGGAGAATTGCTCGAACCCAGGAGACAGAGGTTGCAGTGAGCTGACGTCGAGCCACCGTACTCCACCTGGGTGACAAAGCGAGACTCTGTTTCAAAAATAAATAAATAAAATTTAACAAAAAAACAACCCAAGTGAAGAGGAAGAAAGCATATCAGAATGGGCCCCTCTTCCCCACTGAGCAGCATGGCCTGGGGCTCAGCTGTGTCATGCTTCCTTAGGGAGAAAAAGTATTACTTTAGAGATGGCACAGTAACTTTGAAATGCCTATAAAATAATGTCAAAGTTCATTACCAGATATCCAGGCCACCAGCAATCTGGCTACAACCCCAAGACAGGCCCCAAGTCCACAGGCCTCTGAGACTCTGATAACATCGATCCCTCTGCCCAGAACATCCTTTCCTCGCCTCTCTCTGGACCTAAATCCTACCCAGATTTTAACCAACACTTCAGGATCTATTTCTCTAAGATGCTCTCCTCCCAAAACTAAAATAACATTACTTCCTATAGAATGATTTGGCCTCTGAGTCATCTATTATCTTGAATTAAACGTGTTTCATGGGCCTCTCGGCTGACCACGTGTGGCTGAACAAGTCACTTTTCGACCAGGCAGAGAGTGCCTACCGCCAGAGGCTGGCAGATGTGGCTGCCCAGGCAGCCTGGCCTCCTGCCTTGGCCCCTTGGGGTCCCTGCACCCATGGAAGCCAGGTGGCCTGCCCCCATGTGACGTGGGGGATCTGGGTCAACAAGTCTGCCTTCGACCAGGCTGAGCAGGCATTCGTGGAATGGTCTCAGGCCCTGTTGCTGGCCCCCGAGGGCGGCCACAGGGAAGAGACTCCTGACATAGGCCAGGAGGTGGCTGTCTCCCACCTGGCCCACCAGCCCAGCCCACCAGTCAATGGCCAGCCCCCACTGGGCAGCCTACAGGCACTGGTTCGGGAGGTGTGGCTGGAGAAGCCCCGGTATGATGCGGCCGAGAGGGGCTTCTACGAGGCCCTGTTTGATGGCCATCCCCCTGGGAAGGTGCGCCTGCAAGAGCCAGCCGGCCAGGCCGAGGGTGCCCGGCGGGGCCGCCGAGACCGGCGGGGCCGCAGTGCCTTAGGGAACAAGAGGGCCGTGCCGCGACGGGCCGATGGGGGGGCCCCCTCTGCCTTGCCCTACTGTTACTTCCTGCAGAAGGACGCAGAGGCCCCCGGCTCAGCAAGCCCACCTATGACAGCGCCGAGTGTCGCCACCATGCCGCCGAGGCCCTGCGCGTGGCCTGGCGTCTTGAAGCTGCCTCCCTGTCTCGCCGACCCAGTCCTCGGTCTGGCCCATCCATGTCCAGCCTGAGACCCAAGTAGGAGAAATGTGCCGGGTGGGCACCCAGCCTGGGCTATGGGCAGAGGGACAGCCATCCCAGGCTGGGGCTCCTCCGGCTCCTTCCCATGCCCACCTGGGGTGGGGGCTCCCCAAGACCTGTGGGCCCAGCTGAGTAGAATGCAGGAGCAGGCTGAGCCAGGGTTATGCTGTGCTTGGGGTCACAAAACTCTGGGCCGCTGGGTGGGGGTAGGGATCGTGTCAGCACAGGACAGACTGGGCCTCACTCAGGGTCCCTCCCCTCTTTGGCTGGGAAACCCCCCAGTCCTCTGTGGCTGACGCAATGCCAGGACTGAGAAGATGGGATGACCCATGTGGGAGGGAAGCATTGAAGCTGGTTTCTGGCTCCAGCACTCCCCTGGGATGAGATGTAGGAGCCAGTGTGTCCCTGCTTGCCCGTCCTGTGCACCCCCAGCTTCCCTTGTCATCTGTAACTGCCTCCGAGGGAAGGTGGCAGCGTTTCAGCTACACGGGTGCATGACCAGTGAGGCAGCCTCTGTCCAGGGTGCCCGGTTTGCGTGGCCTCCCTCTGGGTGCTGGGAGCTTGCTCCAGGGTTGCAGGTGCAGCCCCAGCAGCGGTCTGGGGGGCCAGCAGGTCTCGGGGGGTGGGGGTGGGCAGTTAGATGTGAAAGGGAATGCAGAAGGCATGGAAGTGGCAAAAAAAAAAAAAAAAAAAAAACGTATTGTGTAAAATGCCTTTCTGCCCAATACAACTATCTTATAAATTAGAGTCCATTTTATACCATCTTTATCCCAATGACAAACATTCAATTTACTAAAACCATTCAATAAATAATTAAATTTCCCAAAGATGACCTAAAATAACCTAAATGCCAAGCATACCAAGAACTGTCCTGTTCCAAATTCAGTTCTCATTAGCATGTCAAGTCCCAAAGAGGCATGTTGTATTACCTTTAAGTTCATCTGCATTTATCCAAAACTGTAATCTATATGGTCCTACAGTATACACAGGCAAAATATTCTGCAAAGTAGTTTTATTCCCTGTACTGTACTTAATATTCAACCAGACTTGCATTTTTCTCTAAAACATAAAATTGCTGAGTATGCAAGAAACATTAGAAGAGAGACTAAGCCTACAGAGAAGAAAACTAGAAACTAAAATCATCAACCATGGTCTATTTTGAATAATCACTTTCGTATAGGTAAATTCTCTGAAATTCCAGAATAAATAGAATTTAATATAGTATAAAATGTTTTAAATACACATAAGAAACATCCTGATGGGCCATCTGCCATCTGTTTTAGTGACTAAGATTAACTAAATTTTCTAAAAATTATATCAACAGCTAAAATTGAGATTTTTTTTTTTCTATCTATTATTTTTCCTGATCCACTTTTCAGGATCTCCAAAAATTCTGGAGCTAGCCTTCTTAGTTTCAAGAATTCCAAATTATTTCCTGAGGAGTTTGAGCCTCTTCCAAATCATTTAACATGCTTATCAATTAAGAAAGATATGAAGAAACAAAACCCCATACTTAAGCTGCAAGCAGGCCAGGTGTGGCTCATGCCTGTAATCCCAGCACTTTGGGAGGCAGAGGCGGGCGGATCACAACATCAGGAATTTGAGACCAGCCCTACCAACATGGTGAAACTGTATCTCTACCAAAACTACAAAAATTAGCCGGGCATGGTGGTACTTGCTTGTAATCCCAGCTACTTGGGAGGCTGAAGCAGGGAGAATGACTTGGACCCAGGAGGCAGAGGTTGCAGTGGGTCAAGATCACACCACTACACCACTACACTCCAGCCTGGGCAACAGAGCAAGACTCCATCTCAAAAAAAAAAGCAAGCAAATTATACTAAAAGGCTGACTTCTAGAAAGGTTACTGCTTGCCAAGAAAATTATATTACTATAAAACATTGTCTATCCTTCTTATTTCTTCTTTTCCCTTCCAGATTATCTGTGTAGACACAGAATCACATTACTACTGCCGCCACTACTATCACAGACCCTTAAGGGCCATCTTCAATTTACCAACAGATTATATTCCAGTGCTGTATTTTCAAATCAGACTTTAAAACTCAGAACAGAGTTTTCTATACAGTGTTAAAAATAAGGTTAGTGAGAAGATTTCAAGTGACAAAAGCAAGTTATAAAATATGTGGTATAATACCATTCTGTAAGTAAAAACAAACAGATCATAAAATAATATGGTCTGTCATCTTATCTTTTTAAATATGTAAATATTGAATATTTTGGATAAGAAAACCAGGAAGAATAAGAATCAGTCTAATCATGGAGAAAATATCAGATAAACCCCAAATTGAAGGCCATTCTATTAAATACCTAAATAGTACTCCTCAAAACTGTCATGAAAAACAAAGTATGAGAATGTCACAGCCCAAAAAAGACAAAGAAGACAAAACAGCTGCATTCATTGCAGGTCTGGATAGATTTTGGAACAGAAAAAGGACATTAGTGGGAAAACTGGTGAAATCCAAATAAAGTCTAAATATTAGTTAATAGCAATGTTCCAACAATGGTTTCTTAGATTTGACAAACATGCCATGGAAACGTAAGACATTAACAATGGGGGAAACTCAGTAAAGAGTTTACAGGAACTCTGACTTACACTTCTAACTTTTCTGTAAATCTAAAATTATTCCAAAATTGAAAGTTCATTACAGGCTGGGTGCGGTGGCTCATGACTGCAATCCCAGCACTTTGGGAGGCCGAGGGGGGGAAGGGGGTGTCACATGAGGTCAGGAGTTCAAGACCCAGCCTGGCCAACATGGTGAAACTCTGTCTCTACTAAAATTACAAAAAATTAGCCAAGCGTGGTGGTGGGTACCTGTAATATACTAGCTACTAGGAAGGCTGAGGCAGGAGTAATGCTTGAACTCAAGAGGCAGAGGTTGCAGTGAGCCGAGATCACACCACTGTACTCCAGCCTGGGACACAGAGTGAGACTCCATCTCAAAAAAAAAAAAAAAAAGTTTACTACAAAAATAAAAGTGGGTATCTCTGGGTGGTGCCATTACAGTTTTTTATTCATCTGTATTTTATAATTTTTTTTTCAAGACATACATAGTCTTGCTGTGTTGCCCAGGCTGGAGTGCAGTGGCATGATCTCAGCTCACTGCAACCTCTGCCTCCCAGGTTTAAGTGATTCTCCTGCCATAGCTTCACGAGTAGCTGGAATTAAAGGGATGAGCCACCATGTCCAGCTAATTTTTGTATTTTTCTTATAGACAGCGTTTCACCATGTCGGCCAGGCTAATCTCAAACTCTTGACCTTGTGATCCACCTGCCTAGGCCTCTCAAAGTGCTGGGATTACAGGCATAAACCACTGTGCCCAGCCATGTATATTATAACTTTTAACAAGCAGCAAGTTTCATTGCCATGGAAAACAAAAAAACTCAGTCCCAGAAGACTTAAATTAATTTGCCCAAAGACACAAAATTGAGGCAGCAGAGGAATTCTGGAATTAATCCTCTTTCTCTTTACTCTAGACCCCATGCAGAGACCTAAGAACATACCCTATTAAACTTTTTGACTCTCCTTACTTGCTAATATACAAAATTTAAGGTCACCAAATTACTTTTGCTTCACCATTTGCTTCACTGTAATCGACGAAGAGGGAGGAACCAGAGGAAACAATACTGGGAGCTGTTGAAGTTAAATAGCGGGTACATGGGGATTGATTACACTCTTTCTACTTTTGTATGTCTGAAAATGTCCAAAATAAGAAACTTTTAATTAAAAAATAACCAGTCTCACCAACATGGTGAAACTCTGCATACACTAAAAATGCAAAAATTAGCCGGGCATAATGGTGTGCCCCTGTAATCCCAGTCACCTCAGGAAGCTGAGGTGGAAGAATTGTTTGAACCTGAAAGGTGGAGGCTGCAGTGAGCCGAGATCGTACCACTGCACTCCAGCTTGGGTGACAGAGCAAGATTCCTTCTCAAAAAAATAAAAATAAAAAAATAAAAAATAAAGTTCCTCACTCCCCAACATAACTGTGCCACTTCCCACTCTCTGTTGAGCACTGCTGCCTGGGTTAGGAAACACCACAGCTGAGAACCTTCAGCATTTTTCAGTGTGAAGCAGAGGAAAGTCATGGACTGGGAACCCTGAAGCTTCCATCTTGGTTCTGCTTTAACTGTGAGACCTCACTGATTCCTCTAACTTTTTAGGGCCCTAAACTTCCTTAGCTGTTGCCCCACTAAATCTCTGAAGTTCCTTGTAGGATTTAAATTCTGATTACAACTTTCTAAGAGCTCCTTAAACTCAACACAATCAAAACCAAATTTGTCTTTATTCTAAACTCCTAAGAGCCGTTCTCCCTCGTGACTTACCTATTTTTTTTTCTTAATGTCCCATTCTTCCAGCCACCCAACCATAAAAACCACAGCCTCATCTCTGACTTGAGTTATACAACTTAGGAGGCTGATGCCTATAATCCCAGCCCCTTGCGAGGCCGAGGCGGGCAGATCACTTGAGGTCAGGAGTTCAAGGCCCGCCTAACCAACCTGGTAAAAACTGCCCCCCCATTTCTACTAAAAATACAAAAATTAGCCGAGTGTGGTAGTGGGCGCCTGTAATCCCAGCTGCTCAGGAGGCTGAGGCAGGAGAATTGCTAGAATTCAGGAAGTGGAGGTTTCAGTGAGCCAAGACAGTGCCACAGCACTCCAGCTTGGGCAACAGAGAGAGACTCCATCTCAAGGAAAAAAAAAAAAAAAAAAAAAAACACCAGAGAGAGAGAGAGAGAGAGAGAGAGAAATAGAACTTTGGGAGGCCAAGATGGGCAAATAACTTGAGCTCAGGAGTTCAACATGAGCCTTGGCAACAAGAGGCTGGGGCAGAAAAATCACTTGAACCTGGGAGGCAGAGATTGCATAAGCCAAGATCGAGCCACTGTACTCCAGAAAAAAAAACAAGAGATACAGAATTAACTGTTCCCACCCTACCCCATCTAATTAGTCACATCTCTCCCTTCAACCTCCAAAATACCTCTTGAATCCCTGCCATGACCACCAATTCAATTCAGGCACTCATCACCCTCACTTAGACTACTACTATGAACCCAACTAAAGTCTCTGCCTCTAAATTCTCTTTCCTACAGTCCATCACACTGGTCCTTAGTCTGACATTTAAGAACCTCCAAGGCCAAGCATAGTGGCTTAGGCCTGCAATCCCAGCACTTTGGAAGGCTGAGTGCTGCAGGCCAGGAGTTCAAGATAGCCTGGGCAACACAGCAAGACCCCCGTCTCTATAAAACATAAAAATAACAAAAAGTTAAGTATTTAAAAAAAAAAAAAAAAAAACTCTCCAAAACCCAGTCCTGATCTATTGGCAGTCCCACCTTATATTATGTTCCTTTATGTACCCCAAGACCCAGGTAACTTGGATATGCAGTTTCCTCACACCCACATTTCTGACATAACCCCCAGACTTCCCTCCAGAATGCCCTCTTCCCATTGCCTCTCAGCTTTCTGGTGGTGTGATTTAAT